GTTTAGTTTTTCTCTATCGTCTTTAGTTTTTGTTCAAAACACAAAAGAGGGTACAAAAATCTTCATTTAAGGGCAATCACTCCTATGAAGAGTGACCGTCTACTAATCATATCGGCAAAATTTGACTTGTTTGTGGATCTTGCCTTGCTGATCATTTTTGTTATTTAAAGTTTCTATTTATCTATTATAATTTTTATCATATAAGGCAAAATGCCAAACAAAAGTAAAAATCGTCATTAAAGGGCAATAACTTCAATAAGGAGTCGTCAGAAATTTCCTTCATTTGTCTTCAATGTTGATCTTTTCTTGCTGATCATTTTTGCTTATTTAAGTTTCTATCTATCTATTACAACTTTTAAGATATAAGGCAAACACGCAAAAAAATGGTAAAAAATGTTATCAAAGGGCAATAACTCTAATTAAGAGTCGACTGATGATTTCAACCATGCACACTTATTCGTAGATCTTATCTTGCTGATAATTTTTGCAACTTAAAGTTTCTTTCCATCTATTACAGTTTTCAAGATAAAAGGCAAAAATGAAAAAAGGGTAAAATTTGTCATTTAAGGGCAATAAATCCTATAAGAAGTCGCCTGACAGTTTTGACGTCATGAACAATCTGTAGAGCTCAACATTCTGGACAAATTTGCCCTGTCAGAATTTCTGTATTTATAACAGTTTTCAAAATAATAGACAAAATATTGCATTTTACCCCTATGTTCTATTTTGAGCCATGTCGGCCATCTTGGTTTGCGGGCGGGATCATCGGACACATTTTTAAAACAAGATATCCCAATAATGATTGTGGCTAAGTTTGGGTAAATTTGGACCAGCAGTTTCAGAGGGGAAGATTTTTGTAAAAGTTGACGACGAGGAACGACGACGACGGACGACGGACGACAGACGCCAAGTTATGAGAAAAGCTTACTTGGCCTTTCGGCCAGGTGAGCTAAAAAGAAGAAGTTCATAAATCTGACAAAATTAAACATTATCAACCAACGGAACAAGTGGAAAAGAACTTTGATTTTCCTGAATTAGTACTGGCATTCCATAAAGAAAACTGTGGTTTGTACCTGATTTTATAGCTAGCTAATCCTCCCAATTGTATGACAGTTGTTTATAGTTCGGTTATATTGAAAAATTTGGTGTGCAACGAACACAGACAGGTTAATGTGATAATATTTTGGATCCAGAAAAGTAATTTCACTTTCAGATATATTGATGATTTTCGGTCACTCAATAATCCACATTTCAATCAGTGCTTACATCTCATATATATAAAATTGGGGATGCTACTCAAAGTAGAAGGTCTGCTGCATATCTTTACCTAGATATTGACACAGATGTACGACTTCAAACTAGCACATATGGCAAACGTTGTTATTTCAACTTTCAAATTCACAACTTCTCATTTCTAAGCGGTATCATACCCTCTGCACCATCGTATGGAGTTTAAATATCTCAGTTAAGATGTTACTCTCGTGAATGGTAAAACAATATAGACTTTATTAACAGGGGTGTGCTCCTTACACATAAAAAACTGTCCCATCAGAGGTACAATGTATGTGAAAGAACGGCTGTTATCCACACTACATAAATTTTACGAACACCCAACACACATTGGTTGACCGATACGTTGTGTCGGTGTCTCAACTCACTAGTGACATGTTGTCGCGGTCCTGATCTGTAATTTTTACGATTGCGTCCTATTCCCGATTGTGACATGCTTACTGAGTTCATGCGATTCCCTTAGTTTCTATTTTTTCTCTTAATTTGACTCTTCTTTATCGATTTACGAGATTTGAACATCGGTAAACTACTGTTGCCTTAACAGACATACATTTATTTCTAATTGTGTCAAATATCATAGAGTTCTGACAATGATATTGGCTTATTTAATAGTCTTTGAAAAAAATGTGTTAGTTTTGCTAAGATATATTTAATGAAACAACTGTCTATGTCAAATGTTAATTAACTCCAGTTTGATGTTGCCTTGACGTCTTGTTGTCGTATATCTCATCTACTTGTTTAATAATAATGAAAAATGGTAATCAGAGACTGATAAGTTATGGAAAATCAAAAATACCAAGAGTCCTTTGGACAAAATCCTTTGTACAATATACCCACAGAAGACTGACCAGTATAATCGTATGATCGCAACTGATTTCGGTCCGCACAACGCATATTTCCGGAATACACAGCATATGCTCATAATTGTTTTGAGATATCTTGAATCAATTTAATTGTTGTCTTTCGAGATGTTTTAAGACTTTATTTATGCCTAAAAGGCGTGTATAAAGAAACAAATGTGTCTAAAGATGTCTCAAAACGTTTAAGATCATTTGCTAGTAGAGTAATCTTAATTGGATATGCTTGAAGTAGTTGTTGGTGTGTTTGTCTTTCTAGAAAAGTAATAGTTTCAGTTAATTTAAGACGAGCCATCATCCTTGTGCTATGACGTTTAAGGGCATTAAATAAAAAGTGCACGAGGACAATTACGACAACACTGATATAAATTAATTTTAAAAGCCCTTGAATTTATTTTGATTGTCATGTGTTGTAATATGAGTTTGTTTAGGGTCTATTTCACGGAAAAACAGTATTCTCGTAAAGCGTGTTACAAAATCTTGTTCCATGTATACGTCTCGGATATCGTGTTTTATGATGCCTCTCCCACAAAATATCATTCAGAGAATAATTTTAGGGGTTTTCCCATCGAATGATAAAACTTGATTTCATACGTTTCCTATATTAACCTGCATTGACTATAATAAATTCACAAAAGTAATTGATTTAATATTATGTCATGATTACAACGTGTAAACTGACGACAGAAATAAGATACCCAAACACAAGTTAACCAACAACAATAATATTTACACCGTTCCATGGTTAAATCAAACTGTCAGATCGTATCGCCCTCTCTTGGGGATAACCGTTAAAAAGCGATAGCATCCTACAAAATGCTTTATTGTTAATACCCATGTAATGATGAATATTATAAAAGAAATATAAACCAACAATTACTCAATAGAAAAAATAGTCACGGTATGGAGGGTCTGAATGTGGAACCAAAGTTGAATAATCTAATTGAAATCTTCAAAATACGAAAGTGCAATCAGTTTATCAAAGAAAAAATTCCCTTACATTTTGTTAAGTCAAAGTTATCAAGTCTTTCTTTTGATCTGTATTGTTAGTTAAGATTTCAAATAAGAAATACGTCGTATTCCGCCATAACTTGCATTCATATATATAGAGCGTATTGATATACATACAATAGAGCCGCATCTACATTGATAACAAGTCACCAAGGGGTAGTTTATCAAGAATTTGATACCCTTTTGTATAGATTGAAAAAAAATTACTTACATCTAAAACTCAGTAATATATTGCATGTTGACGTTGTGTAAACAGAACAACGGATCTTTATTCAATACAAACAATAAATAACAGAGAAAGGTTGTCCTATATCTAATTTTAGCGTTATAAGCTTTTTTGAAATTTTATATCTTACATTCATGTGATTAAAATTAATGCAATTGATGATCACGCAGAATGAAAATTTCCCGTGTTTTAGATATGGTGACATTTGTAAAATACTGACTTCTTTTTTTGTATGCAATCATTGTTTTAAATGATATATTTTAAAATTTTCACTTTTTTTAAAATCAATACTTTTACTAACACGTTTTAGTGCTACGTATTCCTCTGTGATAATCGACCTCAGACCATTTTTGACTTGTCTTCATATGTCATATTTTGAATCTCCAATATCTTTATTCTCATAACCATTGATACATAGGTACAGAGAGGTTGAAAAATATGTACAAGAATGTGCATCTATCTACAAACATTTAAATACATTTACAGTGGTTTCAAAACAATATACATTTTAGCCAGGAGGACCCACATGTTTGTTTACACACTTTACGAACTTACATAATCCTTTCAGCTTTTGGCTCATCAGTTTTTTTAAACTTTAATGTATTAACACGAGCCAAATAGTATTTTTATGTATGATTTCTTACTGTCGTTAAACAATGGACATTCTAGCAGATATTGTAATTCGTCTCCACTGTTACCAAGATTACAAAGATGACATTTTCTATCATTACTATCAACGTTATTCAACCTCCCTGTTTCTATTGGGAGTCTGTGGTTTGTGGTTCTATATTTACATAAAATAATACTTTCATTCAGATCCAAGATCTCAAAATATTTTTCCAAAATTTTTATTTTACTCCCAAACGTTCAATGTATTTGGCTTTCCAAACTGTTGGTCCTAAACGTACTTGGTTATTTCAGGAGCATGTATCGTGCATATAGATATCGCACCATACATTTATGTAAAAAGTGGGAACATATTTTTGTTTGGTTAATATTGCATAGAAAGGATAACGTAAATAAAATAAAAAATAAGACAGTAAAAAAACCATACACACAAGTATAGATATATTCAAAAAATATATCCTAGTGAGGTACAATGCATTTTATATGTTATAGTTACAAACTAGGACAAGCCATTTGCAATAGCATTTGAATATGTTGAATTGAAATAGGAGCTAAATGTATATCTCTCTTTCCCTAGATAGAGTACAGACGCTTTACATCCTTTTACTTGGACTACCTTTTTTCTTTATTGTTTTTTCATACTTAAGTCAAATATGTGTTTTGCAGTTTTCGTTGTCTTTTGATTCACACTGTAGAAATATCGCAAATCGAAGTAGTTAATAAAAAGATTTTAGGATGTTAGTGCCACTCACCATTGCTCAATAGAAGGGAAACCATGAATATAAATATTGGAATATGTATTATGATGAACGTTGCCCATCTGTAAATGATAATTATTTACAAGAGTTACTAGTATGATTAATAAAAAATATCATTAATTTATTTTAATTTTTTCTCTGACTTATATTATGTTGAATATATTCGAATATAAAAGTAAGCTAAAAATTTAAAATTCTAATAAAAAGATCTCATTCAAAAGAATCACTTACCTTCAATTCCTGGTAGCCCGTTCATGTTTGTCATGAAAATGAAACAAATTTGAAATTGAAAGCTTTATAAATCAATCAGTCAAAAATTCCCTCACATCTTTTCACGTGTGCCTTTCTCTCTATTCATACACGTCTTATTTGATGATTATCGCATTGACAGTCTTTCATCCGTTATGAAATCTCCAAAACATTTAATAATTCTTTTGACAAGTTTTCTGTATATATAATCATTCTTTTATCTGGCCTCTGTATCGAATCCTATATCTACAGTAGCGTGAGCAGCCAAGCCTCAGTTTGTCGCATTCAAGTGATATTACTGTTTATATCATTCTCACCTGGGTGTGTATTGGGTATTATTGCAGGTGTCATTCATCACAATACACATTTTAATATATCTCTTTTTAGTTGACAGATGATATGAGAACTGGGAAGTCAAAAGCTGGTATCCAATCATTCCGGTATTTTGTAATATGAATGCAAATCGATTAATAATAGATTTTTTTACATTACTTAAAATAGATTTTAATAGTTTTGTAATGAATTTCTTTTCTTTCGAGGATGATATATAACATTAGTCGCTGTTAAGGTGAGCTAACTAGGAAGTTAGCTTTACACTCTATCCTAATATTTAAATCCACATTTCTGATCATTTCTGGTTAACTAATTTGCATGTATAAAATACTGCATTATATAATACATCCGTGCATTTTTATGGTCATGAAAAATGAAACTCCATCTTATGATCAAATAAAGATATACCGTTGATTGTATTTACAATATTTTGTTAATGTATTTCCAAAACAGTCCAGGGAAATTTGATTCACATCATATATTCAGGGTATTATCAAAATCTTAATGTTTTACTTTGATTTTGATGTTGTAGGAAAAACGTTTATTCGATTTTTCGTTAAACTGTATGTTGTGTAACCAAGAAAGCAGTTACTGTATGTTGATTTGCGTTTCAAACTTTGTGTTTCAGATTAAGGGCCTTCAGTTTTTTATTACTGTAGTGTGCATACGTTGACCATTAAATCTGTGGATATATATCATATATAAAAAGACACGCTTAGTGTTGCGGCGAATAGATGTGTTATTACAAATCAGTCCACAACCTTCTTTTTGTATCAGAATAATTCATAGAGTACCTATATAGACGTAAGTCATAAATATTGACTTTGAACATTTCATATCAGTTTTTTAAACATGATGTAAAGGCTTAGTAAGGAACATTATAATACGACGCTTTTTATCGTCATATTTGTAAATGAGCGACTAACTAATGTTTAAAAAGTAATGAATTGGTTGATCCCAGTATTTTCTTTGCAGTACATCGAAATTAATTACCCTTACGTGTTGTATATACTTGACTTATCAATCGAACCTAATGAATATTAATCCACCAACACGTGCCGCTCGCACTTGAATCAATAACATACATATATATATCAAATATTTGTGAACATCAAACATGTGATTGACTGAAATACCTTTGATATATATAAATATATTTACTTATATATAATGATAGGCGGTGTTGGCGTAGAAGTGAGATGAAAACGTACAGATATCAGCTCCTTTTGGGGAGAATGCAAAGAATCAGATCAACTCTAACATTGTCAGGTTGATTTTCTATATATATTTTTCTAGACTGTCAGTATTAGCTAGGAACAATATGGACATATTATTGTAAATTGGTACACCGTTATAGGGTGGATGGTCATCTCATTGGCAATCATACCAAATCTCCTCTTTTCACATAGATGCGGATATGGAAGTCCCCGAACAAAATAACCGATAGAATAAAGTCATCATAGATACCAGGATTGAAATTTTGTATTTGCGCCAGACGCGTTTCGTCTACAAAAGCCTCATCAGTGAAGCTCGAATAAAAAAAAGTTAAAAAGTCCAAATAAAGTACGAAGTTGAAGAGCACTGAAGACCAAAAATTCCTAAAATTTTTGTCAAATACTGCTAAGGTAATCTATTCCTGAGGTAGAAAAGACTTACTAGTAGTATTTCAAAAATTCAAAGTTTTGTAAACAGTTAATTTATAATTCTGACCATATCAATGATAATTCATGTCAACACAGAATTAATAATACAGTATCAATCTTAACAAATGTGAAACCGGCGTCGGGTTTAAAATATGCTATTGAACAGCTATCTCAATATACATGCAGTTCCCCCTGTGAACTTCAGACACATAAAATTGATGAAATAGTAATCACTGAATGTCTTCTAAAATTGTATTCACTCTTTGTTTTGAAATCATCCTTTTATTCGTTAATCTTTACAGGAATCAATAGACATTGAAGTTTATTTACAGCTTAGATTGAAGCTAATGAAATGGCTTTCACATAGTAATAGATATTGAATGAAATAATAAAATCGCAAAAGTGATCAATATATGTCTGCGTTTAAGTATAAATTAATTACCAAAACCAGTTTAGTTAAGACAATTATTTATTGTGTTCCATATCATATCGACGACAAAATGCAGTCTGATACACGATATAAAACCGTAGTAAAATAAGCAAATATAATGTTTTTGTTATTTTCTTTTTATTGATAAAGCGAATTTACAACTTGAATGATATAGTTACATTTCAGAAGATCGCCTTTGAAGATTACATAAAGTATACAAATTTGTATTGTGTGCCAACAAAAACAAATAAAAAAATCCTCGAAAAAATCTTTCCTCTGAACTTCAGATTTTAAATGATCGTAAGGGGTTACTTGCGTTACATAACATAACTGATCAAATACCAACTTGTTGGCATTAGCCATAAACCACATCCTTTACTTGTACATGCATGTTGTAGTTAGTTTCTGGAATCTTGAATGCATAAATCTTTGAGATCACATTGCCGCATCCTTATACAAAAAAAAAAAAAAAAAATTGCGTTAAAAAAAGAGTTATACTCCATACGGTCTTCAAATTTATTCATTTACATTGTTAAGTTGTATAATTCCTCTCATCCAATAACGGGTTGACACAAGGTTGAAGCTTATATGATTCCATAGGGAAGAACATATTATTACCGTGTAATATGACAATAAAGTTTTGAACAGATGTTTTGATAAAAAACCCAAAATTACGATTTCAAATTTTAGAGACAATATCTATTCTCTTCTAATTTTGCTATTTTTATACGCCCGTTTACGGGACGTATTATGGTATACAGTTGTCCGTCTGTCCGTCCGTCCGTCCGTCTTTTTTAGTATTGGTATAAGTTACAGTGTATCTAATGCGATGTGTTACACTATAAAACCATGTTTAAAGGAAATGGTAAAAGATACAGCGATATTATTTCCCAACATTTATATATGAAATATCATAACATTAGACACTAATTGGCAATAAATTATTATTATGTGAAACAAGACAGTTCATTTAAGGGTTAATGCTAATTTCTTTTTTCATCCTCCAGTTTAACGATATACCAATATAGTTAACGAAAGATTAAACGTAAACATAATTCATCAAATAAATGGCCTTATGCTTTACTGTAAAAGGTAGTTTTCATTAATAATATATTATCAAAATCAAATAAATGGCCTTATGCTTTACTGTAAAAGGTAGTTTTCATTAATAATATATTATCAAAATCAAATAAATGGCCTAACACTTTACTGTTTAATGTAATTTTCTAAAGTATGATCAAAGTTCATTTAGTAAAAGTTATAAACAAATTAAATGTAAGAAAACAAAATATTTGAAGTGCATGAGTCGGAAAAAGTTCAAATTTTGATGACGAGGAATATCAATGTATCCACATATTTTTTAATAAATGTGTTTTTAGAATAAAAAAAACGGCTATCCGCCTCAACACGCATGACATATTTGCTATTGAACGTTAAACAGACGACATCAATCAATAAAAAAGGTAAATCACGGCAAAAGTCTTTTAGATACACATGTATCTATGATACTAAGTGAGGAGACTTGGTTTTGTGTGTCGCTTCTCTGTCTTTCCAAGTCAAATCAACCAATAGTGCTGTCTACCCTAAAGGTAGTGTGCAAACTTTACTTGACTATCTTAGTTAATGATAGGTAATTTTGGATAAGTTAAAGAAGTACCACAATCTCCATGAGCAAACAAAACTTCTTTTTTGGGTTATAATTGGAATTTTAAAAACAACCCTTATAGTTTATATTGCTCAACAGGACTGTCAATTCACAGCTAGATGCAACTAAACATGTACGTTTAACCCCGCCATATTCTTTGTGATCATATATGTGCCTGTCCAGTAAGGAGACTCTAATTCAGTGGTTGATATTAGTTCAAGTCTGTCAGGTTTGTTTTTCGTAAATTGCATTGTTATAAATTAGGCTGTTAGTTTTCTAGTTTGAAATGACGGATGTTAGAGCTTTTTATAGTTACAATACAGTACTGCTTTTTCTCATTGTTGAAGGTCGAACGGTAACCTGTAAGTGCTTAATTTTTTTTCTCATTTGAACTCTGGTGGATAGTTGTCTCATTGGAAACCAAACTACATCCTCTTCATTTTATAGTGATAACGTACCTTAACTATTAGTCGAGCGCTAGGGTTGTACAAATACAAAAACCATTACTTAGAGTCGATAAAACAGGACTGTCAACTCACAGTTTAATGCAATTAAACAAGAACACGTGATAACCTACAAATGTCTAAAGCATTATTTGTCGAGCGCAAATCTGTAGCATTTAAAAAAAGGGGGGAAGGCGGGGATAACTCTTTTTGACGTTGTTGTCCTTATAAAGTACAGAAAGTTATCTATAAGTCGAAAACAGATAACTAAAAAAAGGACGGGTCCAGTCAGAAAGCTATTCCAAGCAGAGAAAATTGTTCACATAATTCACTGCGCTACTTCATCAGATGACAATACGAATACTAAAAAATCCCAGCAAATAGACGTACTAAGTCAAAACAGTCTCGGACACGTGATGTTGCAGGTGTGTTCTTGTTAAAAATAGAAATACAAAACTCATTTCTATATCATCATCTGTTCGAATACCATCGCACGGCGTACCGGATAAAAGAAATTTCAACAATAATGATTAGATCTGAAAATTTTTCGATCATAAATATAATGATACGGTACAGTTTACTGCACCAGATGCGCATTTCGATAAGTAGTGTCGTTTTAGTAACCTAATAAAATCTTTGGAGATCTGATATATAACCGAACTGTAACCTCATGTAAATTTGCCCTTAATATCAATTCTTACAGTAAACAATTAATTAAGAATCAGAAGATGTTGGTCGGTAAACTCCAAGTAGACAGCAACAAAACGTAAAAAAAAAGTTAGGGGTCAATTTACCATCTCGAATATCAGAAATTGTAAACATGTATATGCTATGTAAAGATCTAAATAGAACTAGTCTATTAGAGGTACATATACAGTGATTTAACAGAGACTATCACATATAGTCATACCTTTCTCGGTATCCGAATTTTGATAGTATCTAACTGAACCATTGAAAGTTATAAAAATTCATCAAATCTTATGAAGCAAGAAACATTATGAGATCACACTGCTGAATCAGATTTCTTTCTTCATATCAATTCTTCTTAACTGTTTCCGTTATTCGTCTCATTGTTCAATTAATTTACAGATA